CATAGAAGAGCAAGCACACTGACAGGAAGTGCACTAGAGCAAGCACAGTGTGGCAGGAAGTGAACTTGGTTTTTATTTTAAGGCAGGTGGTACTGCATCTTCTCTCCATTCACCAAGTCCACCTACAATCCTTACCAGTTGGCTAATTTTGAAAGGATAGGTGCAAAGGAACTGAAGGAATGCAGGAAAAAGATACTTTTCAGGCTTAGCCACTATCCCGTCTCTCCTGCCCCTATTCCTGCTTTCCTTCAAGGAAACGGATTAACTCTCGGCTTCCCACGGCTTATTCCCGGGGTGGCTGGTTATCTGGTAGTCACATCTCTCTATGTCCATCAGTGGTATGTGTCTAGCTGGCACTCTAGAGCAGATGCTTTGGAAGGAGTACTCTGCTCTGTGCCGTGAGAAACCCCTGCTGTGGATTGCTGCGCGGGGGGGCTGTGCGTGTGGAGTTTTTCTTAGCACAGTAGCGGAACTGTGTCACTAGTTTAGAATCCTTCCTGACAGTTCAGCGCCCGCTTTTACATTAGAAGTGTAAATAGCATCCGTCTTAAGTGGCGTGACATAGGGCTGTGTCAAAATATAATGGAGCAGCTGCGGATCTGCGGTTTAATCTTGTGTTTGAAGAATGTGCTAAAGTTCGAGAATTGAGTGGTTCCTCCTGTAAAATACAGTAATGCGCTGGGCCTCCTCCCTGTTCGCCAGTGTTACTTGGTCCCTTTATTTTTAAGGATATTTCAGCATTCAAATTCAAACATTTAATTTGAAATAAAATCCTTTTTATCTGTAAGTTTTATTTTTTGTTTGTTAGTTTATTGATACAGCGTCTCTGTGTGTAACCCTGGCTGTCCTAGAACTCGCTCTGTAGATCAGGATGGCCCCAAATTCACAGAGCTCCGTTTGCCTCTGTCTCCCAAGCGCTGGGATCAAAGGCGTAAGACACCACCACCCAGCAGTAAGTTTTATTAAAACATTTAATTTTTATATTTCTTATGATTCTTAGTTTACTTGGGCTCTTTTAATGAGAAAAAGTGATTTATGAGTATGTGGGTTGGGTATAATGTGGTATTTGGAACATAATATATATATTAAAATTATCTAATAATATTTTGTTTTCATAACCTTGTCCATGTGGGGTATTGATTTCTATCCACCTGCCTTTCTCCTCCCTGGTAATATTATAGTAGTGACCTCCCATTGATATTTGGGAGTCAGTGATTGGTGAGACACAGGTGAGGGAATAAGTGATGCTGAACACGCAGAAGACGGATGGGAAATTCTCAGAGACCGTGACGTTTGCGTGTGAAGCTGACGGGTTGGTGTAAGAATGCACAGCAGTGTGACCTTTCAGATGAGACTGATATGTGGAGAATAGACCCTTTCTCGATGGCCAGAAAGGGATGAATTTATTAAAGAATTGTGTCTTGGGAAAACTTAGAGAAAGGTTCCCCTTCCTGGACAACAAGTAACTGATGATCATTTGCCCTGCTGTTGGCACGATTGACTGAGACTGGATGCGGAGCAGCCTACAGTATTAGAATTCCATGTGGTTTTCCAGAAGGTGGTTAATGTTAGCTGTCCCTTCCCATATTCCATCCTCTACCCTGCTCTCCCATCCTCTTGTCCATTTAATCCTTCTATTGTAATTGCCTCTTATCTCTTTAAAACACTGTGTCCTTCCCTTCCTTGGCAGATCTGCTCCTCCCTTCCGGTTGCTGCGGTTGTTGTGATTGAAACACACATATAGAACACCCACATGTAATAGAAAACATACAGTACTTTTCTCTTGGGGTTCAGGTGGCCTTGCTCAGGATGATTGCTTCTAGCTCCACCCTTTCCTTGCTGAAGAATTTGGGAGTGTCAATGCAGTCCATTTCATTGCCATTCTTCAGTTGATGGACATCGAGGCTGTTTCCTACTCCTGGCTATTAGCAGTAGAGCAGCAGTGAACGTGAATGAGCCAGGTATTTTTGTGGTAGGGTGTAGTCTTTGGGCATGTGCCCAGGCGTGGGGTAGCTAAACTTTGAGGTAGGTCAGTTCCCAGCTTCCTGAGGAGCCAGCACACCAATTGCCATATTGGCTGTACAAGTTTGCACTCCCACCAGCAATGGAGGAGTGCTCCCCTTGCTTCCTATCCTTGCCAGCATGAGCTGTCATTTGTTTTATTGAACTTGATCGTACTGACTGAGGTAAGATGAAATCTTAGAGACTCTGAATTTGCATTTTCATAATGACTGAGGTTGAACATTCCTTGTTCTTCAGCCATTTCTGTCTGATATTTTGAGAACTTTCTGTTTAGTTCTGTGCCGTTTTTAAGTTGGGTTGTTTCTTAATGTTCAGGTTTTTTTAGTTCTTTATATGTTCTAGATATTGATCATCCACTGGATGTGAAACTGGCAAAGATCTTTTCCTCATTCTTTAGCCTGCCAGGAC